TAAGTGGTTGACATGTGGCGGTTCTCAATCTGTGGTGTGGATCTGTAGGGGCGTTGTCATACCTTGGAGGAGTGAGGATCATGAATTTGTAAACATGCCTATATTCCTTCTTAATAAGTGTGCCAAATGATGTCAGAAGTAACGAACCTGAGTACAGAAAGTGGGTGTTAATTCATTTGAATCTTGGCAGAAAGGCAGTACTCACGGTTGAGTAACCTGAAGAAATACAACCAAAAGAATAATGTAGATTCAAGGCAAGATTAGTAGAATGAAACAGGAATAGTTTTGAAAGCTTTTCCTATCTGATGAATGTGAACACACAAAACTAGGAATGAGGAGGTTGTCAATTGATTCAAAATAGAATTTAAGATTCGAGCTGGTGGGAGAGAAGTACGGATCCTTCTAATTGCATTCTGTCTCAAGAGTGATTTGTTAAAAAGAATATCTCATTTTTCTTTTTGATGCTGATCTCAGAATACAAGAACGAAACTTACATTAGAATCTGGAAGGCTCATGCTTTTAAAATGTGGTGTGCGTGGGAACCAGCAGTTAGCGTAATGGCTATGTCGCTGGACTCCCACATAGTCGACCGCGGTTCGTGTCCTGGACCCGGTGGCTTAAAAAACTCATGCCGGGCGCGTGTGTATGCATGCCCAAGATCCCGAGAGGAGAATGGAGGAGAAGGGATTGCGGCGTGACCATCCCCCCTGGGGGGTGATTTCTCGCTTTCTGTCTCTATGTCTCTCTCTCTGTCTGTCTGGCGAGCGCACGCGCCCTACTGTGAAAATCTCTCTCAAAAAAAAATGTGGTGTGTGTGTGTGTGTTTCTGTGATGCGCATAAATGCGGAATATGAGTGTTTTCCTGAGCTGGTCTTGATTTGTAATAAATACTCAACAATTGTTGGACGATCAAACGGACACCTTGATTTTATGAACATTACTTCACAAGGTATCTATTGACCTTCTATACTCATCAGTAAGAGAGCGCGAGGGGAGAGGAGACTGAGACTAGGAAGAGGCTCGGCGTGCAGTGCAGCCATCTCTGAGTTAAGTAAAACATGCTTTGAAACACTCAGTATCATATTCAGATAATGCTGATCATTCCTGGGCAGGGCGTAGAAGGTTTCAAATATTCCTTATTTCTGTGGTGTGATTCATAACTTTATGATGCGCAGAAAACCTGCAGACTTACAAGCAATTCCAGTTATGAACACACGAGAAGGGTGGGTGGTCAGGCTGGGTGTAGTTGTGAGGTGCAATCTAATTCTATAAACTCCTATAAAAGGCTCATTTCTGTAGTAGTGCAAGTAGTAGGTGACAGTGGAAAATACTGGTGTCATATTGGAAGGCCCTGAGTTCCCCTTCCAGGTCAACTTGCACACACTGAGTGTGACACCAAGAAAGAAAGGACTAGAAGGGAGGAGGGAAGGAACAAGAGAAAAGGACACACGCAAAAAGACCTACTTCAAAATTTTCTCTTGTGGGCAACAGCAAGTGGTGTAGTGGTTGAGGTGCTGGATTCCCACATGGCCAGCTATAGTTCAAGCCCTGGACCCGGAGGCTTGAAATTCACACCAAGTACTTATACTTGCATATCCAAAATTCTGAAGGGAGAATGGAGGAAGAACAATTGTGCTGTGGCCATCCCCTCTAGGGAGTGATTTCTTGCTTTCTCTCTGCCTCTCTCTCTCCTCTCTGTCTCTACAGCAAGTACACACACCTTATAGCCAAAAAAAAAAAAAAAAAGAAAAGAAAGGAAAAAACCATTCTCATTTGTAATACTTTGTTTTCACTACACCATTGTCTCTGAGTATACATGTTTCATATATAATTAAAAGGAAAATAAATTATTCCATCTCTCTTTTCCCATCTCCCTTTCCACTGCTCACTACTGTTCACACAAACATACTAATTAATTCAGATGGATGAATGAGGTCTTGTGGGGTGGGGCGAGGTCAATTTATATTAATAAGAGTGTCATGCTAGTTTGAATTACAATTGTACCATTTTTGAGGAGAGAGATCTTGCTTAATCCTCGAAGAGACTTGCTTTCGTTCATAATTTTGTACACACTGAAGAACTTGTCCGTCACAGTCACAGTGAATGGAAGTAGTAGTTTGCAGTGTTGAAATTCTTTAAACTTTTAAAAAAAATTATTTATTTATTCACTTATTTTAATTTGACCAGAGAGAGACATAGTGAGAGAGAGAAAGTGAGAAAGTGAGCCAGGACTCGAACCGTGGGGCCACGTGGGAGTGTCCAGCACCTTACCACCACACCACCGGCTGGTTCCATAGACTGCTGAATTTTTACAAGTCATTTTAATTTTGAATGGAACGATAGCTTCTCAGAAAATAGCCTGTTAAATGAACTTACTGATTGTAAATGATTAAGTAAAAGGAGAATTCCATTGGATTTACATAGCTGTTTCATATGCAATAATATTAAAAGCCTGAAAAAAAAAAAACAATGTGTTCTATAGAATTGAATTACTCCCCATTCAGTTTCACTGACTTGAAATGTTTTCCCTTTATAGTAAAATATATATGAGGTAGGACTAGCAGATGACATAATGGTTACGTCACTGGACTCCCATATGGCCAACGCGATTCGAGCCCTGGACCCGGTGATTTGAAACTCATACTGGAAACATGTGCATACGTGTGCAAAATCTCAAGAGGAGAATGAAGGAGAAGGGATTGTGGTGTTGCCATCCTCCTGGGAGGGGCGATTTCTCACTTTCTATATCTCTGTCTCTTTGGTGAGCACATGTGCTCTTTGGCAAAAATATCTTTCTAAGAAGAAAAATAATACATGAAACATCTTTGAAGAACTCCTTTAAAAATTAAGCTTTTTATTTATTTATTTATTTATTTAATTTTTATTTTTTTTGAGAGGTTTTTGTATAGGGCGCGTGTGCTCACCAGAAAGACAGAGAGAGACAGAGAGAAATCTCCCAGGTGGAATGGCCATGCCACAATCCCTTCTCCACTCTCCTCTCGGGATCTTGGGCACACACGCACACACGCCCGGCATTGAGTTTAAGTCACCAGGTCCGGGACTCGAACCGAGGTCTCAACTACTTGGGAGTTCAGCGACATAGCCATTACACTAACTGCTGATCCCTATTTATTTATTTTTAAAAATTTCCTATAGCGTGTGTCCATTCACTGAGAGACAGAGGGGTGGGGAAGTAGGAAAGCACACTAAGGGGAGTGGTCATGCCACAGCCTTCTCTTTCACCCTCCTCAGATCTGGGGTGTGTGCATCCAGGCACCCCACTTGTTTTCAAGCTGCTGATTTCGGACTCGAATGGCACAGTTGTCATGTGGGGTCCAGCCATTTTAACCACCCTGTGGTTAAAATAGAACTTCTCTATCATAAAAAAATTATGCAAGGATTTAAAAATGTTTGCGCTCAAGTAGTCTTACACTTCAATTTCTCTTTTCCATGGAAATGTTTCACTTTATTCATGCAGGAGGGTACATGCACTGCCCACACCACAGCCCTTCCCACAGCTCGGCAGGTCCTCAGAGTCTAGCGTGGCTGCATCCAGAGTGTTCGGAATCCAGACCCACGGCCGGCCGTGTGGCTCCCAGTACTACAGGGCCTTCGCTGTGCTGCTAACCGAGTGGCCAAGGCTGGCCCTCTGTGTGTTGACGAGTCTGGGGTAAACAATCAGCAGGTGAAAATCTTCCTTTCAGAGGCTGCTTCTCTACCTGTGAAGGTGGGGGTGGGATGTAAGTCTCTAGAAACTAATTAAAAGGAACCTTTAGTAAGTGCCAATGAAAAATTGCAAGTTACAGAGTGAAACATGTAAGGAAAACTTTATTCAAGACTATTGCAATAGACTGAGCTTGACTGCTCAAACAGAAGTGGGGAGTTTGGGTGCTCCGGCATGAGCTAGTAGAATCCACGGATGATGTGAGGAGGCGGGTTTATGCCATTAGGCCACAAGTATTTGCTAATTATGGAATTGAGGCTCCCTCTCTCCCGCAGAGACAGGGGGTAGGGGCGATATCTTTCTGGATGGGTACATTTCAGAGGATCACTCCCTGAAACTTGAGAGAGACCTATCTGTGTTGTAAAACCATTCAGGGACCTAGGGAAGATTTTGCTGCAAAGAAGCAGAGGAGCATTTTACGACTGCAATTTTCTGAAGTAAATGATCTAAGAAAATGAAGGTCAGGGGCCTACAGTCAAAAAGAAGCCTGTTTAAAGGTTAGTCAAGCTGGGGGGAAAGGTAAGGTTCTCCTGGTAATAGCAATAAATTGAACACCGTTTATTTCAAGCACGATGACAGGATACAGAATTATTTCAAATGTTTAATCATAATACAATGTAGGACAAATATCGATCTATCAATCTTTAGCTTCTAATGATAAGATAAAAGGACCTTATTACTGTAGCAAAGAAGTAGCAAGATGATGGGGAATAACCGAGTGATCTTCAGGTAAGGCCAGAACCCCAGAAGGTGAACCAAGCGTCCAGGAATTTGTGTCTCTGGAGGACGCAGCCAAAACGCTGCACAGTTAGGATCCTCGTGGATTGAGGGGAAGGAAAGTTGCTTTTGAAAGTCTGTCAAGAGTGTGGAAGCTGATGGGGGCCAGCAGGTGGCATGGTGGATAAGACATTGCATTCCTACATGGCTGAATGCAGTTCGAGTCCCAGACACGGTGGCTTCAAAATCATACCAGGCACTTGTGTATGTGTGTGTCCAAAATCCTGAGAGAAAGGTGGAGGGGAAGGGATTGTGTTGTCAACATCCCCCCATAAGAGGGCTGGTTTCTCTCTTTCTCTTTGTCTCTCTCTGGTAAGCACACTCACCCTATGGCAAAAACAAAGCAAAACCAAACAAAAAGAGTGGGGGGACCCTGGTTAACTGACCAGGTTGTCTGGAGATCCAAAGAACTGCGTTCAAAACACAGGATAAAACAGAACTAAGCTTATCATGACACTTAATACAGTGTGGAGGTGCCAATCTTAAAATATATTAAGACATTTTCTTTGACAGTATACATACTAAATCCAGAATGACACAGACAAGATCAGCATGGTCCCTTTATAAGTCTGACATGCAAATTTGTGATGCCTTACATATTATACACACACACACACACACACACACACACATATATATATATATATATATCTTTATAGCTATGTGCCTTATTTATACCTTTAATCACGGCATATAATTACAACATGCAAACAAATTTTCCAAGCATGGATACACTGTACATTAGTCCAATGAAAGATATTATCTTACAGGTTATCATCCATAGATGATTTTCCATTTGTGTATCCCTTAAATATTTCCTTTTTCCTTTTCCTCCTGCATCACATAAATTTTAAAAAACAGTATTAATGTGGTCCTGAGATCACTTGTAACCCCGGGCACCTGGCAAAAGATTATTCTCTCTAGGCTCAAATTATATCATCTGAGGACCCAGAATTATTCTTATCTTTTGTGTTTTTTTGTTTTTGTTTTTTATCTTTTCTTTCTTAGTTTTCGCTATAGCGCATGGAGCTTGCCAGAGAGAGAGACAGAGAGGGAGAGGGGAAGTCAGAAGTCACTCCCCGGCGGGATGGCTATGCTGCAATCCCTCCTCCTCGCCTCTCCTCTTGGAAATTTGTGTTCGCATGCACACGGGAGATCCAGCACGTTGACCTCCTGACCACCAGCTGCCTTCAGGAGTCTTGGTTTTCGGCTGTCTCAAATAATGTTTTACTCCCAGGAAAATATAATTTAAAAAATTGTCACTAAGAGAAAAATCATCACTAAATCGAATAATGGTTTGAAATAATGAATCCTTAGAATCTGGAAGAAACAGAGAGAACGCTGAATAGCACATTTAGCTGACAATAAATAAGTAAAAGCACAGAGAGCCGATGTTACAGTATGGATATTTCATACGGCCATACGTCACCATTTTTCCTTTGACTTATAGGATATATTATTTTTTTTATTTTTTGGAGAGATTTTTCACTATAGGGCGCGTGCGCTCGCCAGACAGACAGAGAGAGACATTAGAGACAGAAAGCGAGAAATCACCCCCCAGGGCGGATGGTCACGCCGCAATCCCTTCTCCTCCATTCTCCTCTCGGGATCTTGGGCACGCACGCACACGCGCCCGGCGTGAGTTTTAAGCCACCGGGTCCGGGACACGAACCGCGGTCGACTACGTGGGAGTCCAGCGACATAGCCATTACGCTAACTGCTGGTTCCCAGGATATATTATTTCTCATTGATTACAAATATTATGAATTTTTTTAACAATCAACATAGTTACAAGCAGTTGCAAGACTTGATTCAAAATTGGTTTACATTATTATTTAGAGTAGAAATAGTCTGTTCCAATTGCATTAGAACATTGTGAAATGAACTATAATTAACATGTAGTAACTTAGTCTTAAAGGGACCTTTAAGGACACTTAGTCTTAAAGGGACAGTTCGTCTAGTTTGTGGTAAGAGCCTTGCTAGAATTATTAAGATCCCTTTGTTTTAAAAAGGGCAAAGGATTCCATTCTGTAACCATTTTCTCTGGGGGAGCCAAAGATGAGAATTAAACATTGTATTAATGAATGACGATTCTTTTTGGATAGGAACATGGGTCCAATATTTTACATTTGATTCTTTGACTTGAATATAATAATGCCCAGTTTTCTAGATAAAGACACTAACTAAATGAAGCATCTTCCTGAAAACCACACACAAAATCGAACCTGAGCCCAGCTGTGGTGGCCGTGGAGCGCCACACGGCGAGGCTGTGCCCCTCAGAGTTGGACCTCAGGGAAGTCCAGAGTTCGATTCCCAGTCCCACTTGCAGGCTGGGTGTGGGGGACTGAGCCCGTAGTGCCAGCAACTCAGGCAGGCTGAGCAAGGGGATGGGGTTTGATACATTGCAATTAGTGATTGAATGGCCTCAATTTTTAGAGCCAGTGCAAACATAATTGTGTAATACGTGTTGTCTAATAATGACATTTTTTAAAATTGCTCTGTAGTAATTAAGGTATATCAGCTAGAAAACTTGGTTTCCATGCATTGGGTTTTGAGAGAACAAAATGACTTGTTCATCGAGTGAACAATCGGATCATATATGTTATTTTTTTTGAAGAGGTTTTCGCTATAGGGCGCGTGCGCTCGCAAGACAGACAGAGAGAGACATAAAGATAGAAAGCTAGAAATCACCCCCCAGGGGGGATAGTCACGCTGCAATCCCTTCTCCTCCGTTCTCCTCTCAGGATCTTGGGCACGCATGCACATGCGCCCAGCGTGAGTTTTAAGCCACCAGGTCCGGGACGCGAACCGCAGTCGACCACGTGGGAGTCCAGCGACATAGCCATTTCGCTAACTACTGGTTCCCATATATGTTATTTTGAAGCATAGCAATAAACCTGAATTCGTCGAGTTGAGTGCCTGTATAGCAATATAATCTTGTCAGACTGTACAGATGAAACTTTACTTTTTCGTTTACGCTACATGCATACTATTGACATGTGTATTCCTCTTCCTTAAATGAAACCCAACACTCTTTTATTTATTTTTTTCTTTTGACTTATAATAACAAAATCTTAGCCTATTAGATGGGCCAGGGTCAAATGTGATTGTTCACATAATGTAAGTTTCTGTCAATTTTCTCATCAGCAAATTCTTACATTGCCACAAATGTATCAGTGAGTCTTGAGGGCAAATACCATTTGGAAGACAATGTCCCTCTGCCTGCCATTGTCCTCATTCCTTAAAAGTCAGATTTCCTGTTAAAGCATTTTTACAAATGTGAGAATGCACTTGAATCAGTGATATTAAGTGGAGCCTGGGTCTCAGAAGTATTCAAGGATCCCCAGGTGATTCCAGGGTTCCTTGGTAAGAGCGAGAACCTGTGAACGGGAGAAAATGTCATGTCTCACCAGGCAGCGTTTTGCTGAGAAACAGAAAAATAATCATGTATGAGAGCGTTTGTGTGTGTGTAAATAGATCCATTATAGAAACTGGCTCCTGTGACTACGGGGTCGTGGAGGCTGGGAAGTCTCACTGTCACGGCCTCCAAGCTGGAGACCCAGGAAAGCCCGTTAGAATTCCAGCCTGTGTCCAATCGTTACCTATTTTAATTCTTGACTAAAGATGGGACCTTTTGCTGTGGGTATTATGGAGTCAACCGAGAAAACCCAAACTGGGTGTCATGGCACAAGCTTTACTGAGCGGTCAAGGAATGGAGAAGGGGGAGCCCAGCTCACCAGTCTCCTCCCCCCCATCTTGAGGTAGTGCAAGATACAGCAAATGGGGCAGCGAGGGGGATGGGCTAGGGTAATACAGGGAAGGGATGTTCAGAGCCTTTCCTGGAAAAGATGGGGACTTCCTGGAATTCCAAAGCCCTCTTTATTTTTCCCCGGTAAGATCATTTCCAGTTGTAAGTGGGGATGGTCAGCTATCAAGGTGCTGGTAGGTGTGTCATCTGGCGGGTTAACGCAGAACAATGAAGGTAAAGGAGCTCGGAGCTTAGACAGAGGTCTTCCCAGGTGTCCTCATGGTTCTGACTGCTTCAGGCTCGGTTCTTCAGTCGTCTGGGATCTAATAAGACCCTCACCTGCATTCCGAGTGAGAAGACACCTTGGGGCGGGACTCAGGAATAGAACAAACATGGACGAGCTGATGGCGACAGCGTGTTTGAAGATGATCGCTTCATTACTTTTGCTAGTTTTCCAGTTGTTTAATAACTCCAGAATCCGTTACTACCTGATGGTGAGACATGGACCCTCTTATTTACAAGCTTTGTGCTTTTTATTTCAAATTTCAATTTTACTGAAAGTTAATAAATACTCATAATATATAAATAAATAAATAGTTTGTAATAAAAATATCACCTTCCCATGGAAATACCTGAGGCAACCAGTGTTACAAGATCCTTGGGTATTTTTCTAGAGTTACCTGAATTTACAAAATAAAACATAAAAATTCACCATACGGTAATAATTAAGGCCATACCATGAAAATTCATTAAATTGGATGGGAACCATCAGTTAGCATAATTGCTATGTAGCTGGACTCCCACGTAGTCGACTGCGGTTCGCGTCCTGGACCCAGTGGCTTAGAACTCATGCCGGGCACATGTGCGTGCGTGCCCAAGATCCCGAGAGGAGAATGGAGGAGAAGGGATTGCGGCGTGGCCATCCCCCCCGCAGGGGCTGATTTCTTGCTTCCTGTCTCTCTCTGTCTGTCTGGCGAGCTCACGCGCCCTATAGCGAAAACCTCTCCAAAAAAAAAAAAATAATAATAATTCATTAAATTGTAGAATTAAGAATATTCAGTTGCACGAAATGTCAGGCATTTTGATGCAGATTGTTGGAGGGATCAGGTCCAGCCCCAGTGCAAAATACAGGACTACGACGAGGTGACCAGGTTCTTATGTCACAATCAAGAAGAATTACAGACATGGTCATGGAAAGGCAGCAAAAGCAAAGTGTTCCGAAGGAGAGGAAAGCTCCCAAAGAAGGGAGGGGCTGCAGGAAAATGTTGCCCTCGAGGGGCTTTAGGCTAGAGTTTATATCCTGAGTTTGCATGGGGAGCTGGCTTTTTGATAGGAACAGGCTTCAGAAAATGGTTCCATGCATGGTCTGAGTGATTTATTAGCCCATTCTTCGTGAGGTCAGCAGACCATCACCTCTCTCCGCACTTTGTTAAAATGTAGTTCACAGATAGACACTGCTGCCCTTAGCTGTAGTTGTTTTGAGGCCTAATGCAGTCGACTCTTTGTGAAAACTTAGTGGGTTTGACTCCATCTTGGGTAAAGCTTAATGTGTTTCTATCTTGGGGATTTACCCTGTCTGTATGTTTAATACCTCTGTCTTCTGCCTTCATTTCATTGTGAGACTGATAAAAATTATACTTCTGGGGACCAGCAGTTAGCGTAATGGCTATGTCGCTGGACTCCCACGTAGTCGACCGCGGTTTGAGTCCCGGACCCGGTGGCTTAAACTCACGCCCGGCGTGTGTGCATGCGTTCCCAATATCCCGAGAGGAGAATGGAGAAGAAGGGATTGCAGCGTGGCCATTCCCCTTGGGGGGTGATTTCTCGCTTTCTGTCTCTATGTCTCTTTCTGTCTG